AGTTCCCCACCATACTTGAGCAGAAAACTGGGTTAGTATTAAATGACCTTCTTGTTCCCCTCTGTAGAAATTGTTTTTTTTTTTCTTTTTTTTCCATATTAACTATTCATTTATTGTTGAAGAAAAAACAGCTTTGGTATTGATCTATTCATGTTATAATCAGTTATTCTGTTGGTAATTGTGCTAATTATGTCTTTTTTGTGAGGAAAAAAATACCATCAGAAAGAGGAGAAAAAGTACAAAACCGGAGGATAAGATAAACACCTAAAATAAAAAAAAGAAAAAGAAAAATATCTAAATAACAATGCAACCCAGTCCCTTTGCAAGATAGCCAAGGGGGTCTTTAAGAAACCACGAGCCTCAGCCCAGAAAGCAACATAGGAAATCCATTCTGTCTCAAAAGAAAGAGATGATTAGAATCCTTGAAAAGACTACCATTACAGTCCAACCAAAACACTCACAAAAGATAACTCCTCTTACAGCATATAAACTTCCTTTTCTTTTTCCACCTCCCTTGAGGAAACTAGAGCAAAGACTCTCGGGTGGGGGTTGGGGGGGGGGATGTGTGATCCAGTAAGAACCACAAGTATCGGAAACATAGACAAAAGCCTCCAAGCCACCTAAAAGTAGCAAAAACAATTCAGTTGCCTTGAAACATATAACACATACATTCTGGTTTGGCCTGTGAATTTACATTAGATCATTGCTGGTGTATAGTCTAGTTAGGAAGTTGTCCGAACAAAAGCCTTAACCCTAAGTAAATTTTGGCCTTCAGGAATGCACTTGTTAAAGGCTCACTGTGGCAAAGGAATTTTGAGTGAGATCGGAAAAGCAAGATTTGCAAGTGTACACATTAGAGAACTCTAAGGTCTAGATTCTACTATTACAATGTGAAGAGAACAAAAAGGCTCAAGGAGGTTGTGCAGAGAGATTATGTATTTGGATCCTCAATCATAAAGATTTTTAAAAAGTTCCAAGAAATTTGACCATCTAATTGATTGAGAAATTGACAGTTGACAGCACTATGACACAATGAAAGACTATAAAGGCGAGGGAAAAGATTTACAAGGGAGAGATCCCCAATCCAAAGATTGTCTTAAACCAAAAAATCATCATCTATTTTCAGAAAAGTAAGAGGGATGTGTCATAAAGCTGCATAATTGCTTTTTAGAGGCTCTTTTGAGTCAAGGTTCTCTGAGCTATAGAATCTCAACCACTTTTGTGTAATTTGTACTTTTTATCACCTTTTATTATAAACAATAGGATTCTACAAATCTGTTCAGTATGTTTCCTATCAAGAGAAGCGGCTTCTGCAAGTTGCAAGATTTGAATTGGTGGGTTTATCATTCTATTAATGCCTACCTCATATTCATCCTGCCTGGTACTCAATTTAGTGTTAATCACCATTGTTGAAGCTAAAATTTCCTTTCCTTGAACTAGTTCAGATTTGTCTGTTTAAGGTAGGAACTGGTTAATGACCACGGTTTGGTCGAAGTCATATCAAGAAAGTCAAAACGGTTAAGATCTAGCAAGTCGCACTTGTGATTGGTTGCAAGTGTGGTTTATGCACAAGCTTCTGGCCACCAAATGGCAATAATTCTGTCAGTTGACTTGATAGTGATGGGGGTTGCAGATCAAAGGTTGGTGTGAGACACAACTATAGGAAAGGACATGATTGAGAGAGGCAGTGGCTAGGAGACTTGCAGTGGTGAGTGGCATGTTTTCAGATATGGTTTTTGCAGTGGGACCTTGGTGTTTTGCTGAACGGGGTCTTTTAAGACTGCAGTAGTGATGGGTAGTGTTGCCCATCATTGCTGGGCAGACTAGTTACCATCCGGTGGAGTGATTAGGATTTGTGATTTTTGTAGTCTTTTAAAAAAAGTTTTGCAAATGGGTTCATCCATTGTATGGCTGTAGGTTTTGGGTGTTTGGTGTAGGATTCATTTAGATCTGATACCAAAGGATGTAGGAAAAGATTATGGTTGATTTGTCTACATAGATATTTGACGAAAATCTTAATATCATACCTAAAATTACGGCTGTAGATTTTGGGTGTTTGGTGTAGGATTCATTTAGATCTGATACCAAAGGATGTAGGACAAGATTATGGTTCGTCTCCATAAATATTTGATGAAAACCTTAATATCATACCTAAAATTATTAGGTAAACATCTAAGATTTGATTGAATTACATAAATAGATACTGGCAGATTCTTAAAGTGTTTTATTGAGTAATTGAATAATGATCTAAAAGAGGAGATTGTGGAGGTTTATGTAGAGTGTGAAGTAATTCTTTCCTAATAAATTAGGCTAACAGACATTGATTCTAATTAAATTAGAAAAGCTACTAATGAAAGAAATAAGAACACAAAAAATAAATAAACTGGGAATATAAGAATAACCGAAACAATATAATTACTAAATAGTAAATTACTACTTTGCCATGTGCTATCTTGTTTCGCCTCCCTTTCTTGTACAGACAAATGTAAGAGAGATAAGATTATGGTTTCCAATGCATGAAATCATTTTGTAGTGATGTCTTTGTTTGTGGGCATTGTTTGCAATTACTTTTTCTGAGAACTGCTTCAAAAGATTAGTGACATTTTCTTTGGATTTGTTTCTATTCTCTTCCTCACTCTCGTATATCTCTTTTCTCTCTCAGTTTAAGAAAAAGATGACACATAATGCTGTCCAAGTAAGTTGCATTCTTATTTACAGTCTTCCCCTGGCAGGTTTCGTGGATTTTTTTGGAAGGCAGCCAGAATAGGTAGGTTGTAGTTGTTGATGTAGAAGCAGAAAGATTCATGTCATTCATGAATATCACCTTATTCAGCAAATTTTTTTTTACATTTTTCTAGAATTCATGCTTCTAAGTCTAGAGCTTTTCAAATTTAAGGACTTCATCCATAGACTCGGCAAATGAATATTGCTAAATTTATTTGCCTCCAACACCTATGCATCTGTATGCAGATAGAAATGTCTAGAGAGTAACTGGTACATTTTTTCCTGAATAACAAATGTTACGATTTGGCAATTTTTCTAGATGGTTGTAACATGTTGGTTGAAGTTGAAGGTGGCTTTCTCGCACATTTCTTCTACTCAGTTGATCAACTTCATATCATCTGGTTTTCAGAAAGAAAAAATGAAAGACAAACTTCCATGGCATTCTTTTCAAAAACAGCATGTCATCACCATCTTGCTCCTAAAGAGAGCAGTATAGTCAGGCAAATTGACTAGTGCATAAGTATATAGCTTGATTTTATATAGGGAAACATTCTAGTGAATGATTAGCTATTTATGCTTGAATCAGGTGAGCGTTTGAGTCCGTGGGTGGCTGTAGGATGCTTCACGATGGGTGTATCTATCATATTTTTCTGAGTATCAATTCTTTGTGCCTTGAGGAAGCTCCAGTTATTTTGTTTGGTAGATTTCATCCTTGATCATTTTACTTGTAGTGCTGCCAATTGATTGTTTCTGTATTCTGCTGGGATGGGGAAAAAAGATCATTCGACTTAAATGATGGATTGTACTTGAAGATTTATTGTGTTCTGGATTGCATATGAATTGGCTTGTTGAACAAAGAATAGCTTAAGGAGTATATTAGCAGAATATGAGATTTTTGAATTATTCAAAATTATGCAAACAGGGAACAAGTTGACGGACCTCTTTCGTTTAGGTCAGTGGCCATATCTGAAAACAATGCATAACAAAGAAAAATAAGGCCACATTTGGCGCATGTGTTTATAGAGTAATTAAAATATGAACATAAACTAGCATTTCAATTGTAATTACTTTACATGTTTTTATGAATAAACATTATAAATATAAGAAATAAGAACCTTCATTACCAAACATGGCCTAAGGAACATTTCACTTTAAGGAACTTATCACGTACGTGGTTTTTATTTTGAGATGCCAAGAATAAAGGTTTCTTTTTCCCCTGGTCTTTATGAGCTACTTGCTGGCTGATTATTTGGACTGTGCATAAGAAAACCCAATTAAATTTTTGCTTTAAGTATGATTCCAATTTACAATTTTAAAAAATAGGTTTATATATTTTATTTAATAAATATAAATGTCACATGGAAATATATAAAAGCAATTTTAAGTATTTAATATAGTATATATTTTCAAATAATCTTTTTAATCAAATCTACAATATTTAAATTTATTATATAATCTTATTAATGTTAGTTTATTTTTTGAAAATCTCAAGATTCTCAAACCAACTTTAATTTGTAATACATATTTATTTATTTTTTTGACAAATACTTAATTTGGTACTCTGTAGCTAATGTTTAATATTTTATTTTTAAATATATTTATTGGTTATAATCTGATCTTAAAAGTTCTAATTTTATTTAAAAAATACCGACATAGTTAAATTTAATTAAAAAAAATAGCTTGGAGCATATTATTTAGGCTAAAAAAATTATATTAAAGAATAAAAAAAAAAAAATCATAAGTGACATGGGCTCTTTGTCCTTCACGCGTTCTGATCTCCCGCTGATGCTCTTTCTCTGCTCCCCTTCTCTTCATTCTTCATACGTTCTGACTCATCCTACTTACTTATGCTTTTCTCTAGTTTTCTTCTTCGTATAAACTATGGTTTAGGAAGTGTTGTTGAGGAAGAAAGATTTAGTGAGAAAGAGAATCAAGATCCGAATAGATTTGGAAGAAGAAAAAGACAGAAGCAAAAAGACGAAGGAGACTGCGGTTTGAGGAAACCTCAATCATGGTTTCTTCTTTTATTTCCTTCTTCAACATTTATTAACGAGGGGAAAAAAAAAAAGAAAAAACTTATATAGGAGAAGTAAAAATAGGTATATGCACATCATATTTACATTAAATTCAATTCATACTCTAAAGTATACAATACACACGTTTGTACAAGATTCATGCCAAACAATTATATGCTCCGGGACCGACTTCACGTTCAACCCAAGTGAGAGAATACAGATTAGTAGATGGAGCTTCATATTTTAACACTCCCCACAAGATGGAGACTAAATAATTTTTACTCACATTTTGCACATGTGTGAATAAAGGAGAGTACTAGGTAAAGGCTATGTGAGAATGTTAGCAATTTGTTGTGTGCTAATGACAGATTTTGTCACAATGCTTCCATTATGTGGTTTTTCTTAGATCAAATAATAATTTAGCTTTATGTGCTTTGTTCTTTCATGGAAGACATGTTTTGCTGCAATATGCAGAGCAATTTTGCTGTTACAATATATGATGGCAGCTTGTGAATGCTCAATTCCTAAATTACATTGTAAATATCTTACTTAGATTTGCTTGCAGCAAACACTAACCATTAACTAGTATTCGACTTTGACGGAGTAGCGAGAAATAGCATGTTGCTTCTCATATTTCTAATATATCAAGTATGATCGAAGAAGAAACATAATATCCTATGACAAATCTTCTAGTATTTAGGCAAGCTTCATAATCACTATTACTATATACATTACGCTATATTTATGAAGAGGGAGAATAAAACAAACCTTACCCTGAATTGTTCTAATATATCTTAGGACCTTGTAAGTAACATTTGATCTTGCGAATGCTCCACGAATTATATACGTATAGTTAAGTGCTGATACCTCATGAATTTTTATTTTTAACATTTTATTTTGATACAAAAAACGAATTATGATGTATAATAACCGCTGCATCATATGAATTTAAGTGAATAGTAATAAGTAATTATATGTGCTGGTGTTTGAGACGTCATATGTTATAAATGAAAATTTATTCTTGTTTAATCCCACACATAAATTCATTTTATTTATTTTTTTTAATATTTTTTAAAATTCTATGAGTAATAATATAAACATCAATAATGCATATATATGCCTTATTCTACAATTAATTCTCATCATAATTAATTACTAATTTATGTATATTAAGATAAAAGTGGATAATTTTAATTTCCTTAACCATAATATCATAAAAATAATGATGCTGAGAGAAAAAGACAAAGAAAAGAAAGGGAAGTAAGAAATAATGAGAACAAGCAAAAATAAAGAAGAAGGATAACTAAAAACAAAGTAGAAAAAGGAAACAAAAATAAAATTTAATATAAGAAAAATAATGGAAGAAAACAAAGAGGCTAGAGAGAGGAGAGAACTGAAAAGAAATATTACTAAAAATATTGTATAAAAGATAAGAAAAAATAATAAAAATAAAGAAAAATCAAGAAATGGATCAAATAAGTAATGCAAACTATTTTGCTACCTTGGGCTCTCAAATTATGAGTAAAAATTGAATTTTTTTATTTATTATCTCAATAGAGAATAATAATGACTAAGAAGCTAGTTAAAATTTGGGAGAAAAAAAAAATCTTCTAGAAAAAATATTAGAATTTAGAGGTCCTACGAGCTAGATGGTTTGGATAATAGAAAGGTATCTCTGACCCAAAGAATGCCTTACTAAAATATTATAAAGAACATCATCTTATTAAATTATTTTCTTAAATATAGTTAAAAATAACTATTTTGAGAGATGGTAAAACAAAAAAAAAAAATAATGCTTAAAAAATATACTTATAAATATTAACTAAATAAATCCCAACTGTTCTCTAAAATACTAATTGAATGAATCTCTAGCATTTTTTGGAGATATCTTCTTTAAAGTCAAAATATGAGAGTTTATAAAACACAAAGCTAATAAAGTCTTACTTACTGACTGAATGATAAAAGTCTTATATTGTTGTCTTGTTGAAAAGAATAAAATTCATATAAGGTGAAATCCTTACTCTTGGCATGATCTTTAAGTTTTTTATCCTCTTTTTCTAAATGTTTCATATGCCTCTTAATTTCTTTTAACTTTTTTTTTAAAGTTTATTACTTTCCTTCTAGCTAATAATAGATTCTTTTCCTAGGATGTCGGCTTTAAGGTAATACCTACAATAGTAATCTCTAACTCAATAAGTGAACCTTTACTTGTGTAACCTTTGAAGCTTTACAGTATCTAATCTTTTTTGAAAGTTTTTCCTTAGTCCTTAATGCTTTATCTTGAATTGAAATAATTTTTTTTAACTATAATAAAAATGATAGCATATCCATGAATAGTAATTTAATAAAGAAGTATGGAAAAAAAATTATACTTATTGAGAAATAATTTTTAAGACTCTTTAAAAAGATACTAAAAATCTGAATATAATAAAAGTCACGTTTCTATAAAGTCACAATGTTGTGAATAGAAAGTATGCCAATTCTACTCCCCGGAAGTTAGGAGAGGTTTTGCAAGTTTACATCAACATCATTCTGAAGCCATATGTGTAGTAGGGTAAACCACCTGAATAGTTAATATTCTTATAGACCTAGTAATTGGTAAATAAAATATTTTAAGAGTAGTAGTATGAGATGTTAACACAACAACATGAGGGATTTATCAACTGTAGTCAACATTGAGGTATTCAAGTAGGGAAATTATCCGTCAACAAAGAAGGATCCTAAACCCAAATCTAAAAGACAACTTACAAACTATTACATGTCTTAATAGTTGCTGCTCCTAATTTTTTATTTCAGGCCAACTTTTATTGAGATGGTATATTATAAATATTTTTTAAATATTTCATGTTTTTTTATAAATGAGATTGAGATTTTAATATTCTCGATATTTAAAGTATTAGTTTTTAAAAATACTAAGGATATTCTACATATAGAAAAACTTTTTAAGAAAACAAACACTAAGCCTAAGAAGATACAAAATTTGAATGTCCTTAAGGGTAATAATAGGAGTTGTTTGTTCATGATGTCAAACAGGGAGTTAATCATTTTATAAAAATGATAAAAATACATAAATATAATAAAATAATGAAATAAATTAATAATGAAACACTAGCCGCTTTTTCTTGTGATCATGAAGGAATATTAAATGAGTTAAAAGAAAATAAAAAGCATATGATAGATTATTGAAGAATTAAAGAAAAAAAAATATAAGTGCTATTTGGTAATATATTATAACCATCTAATTAGAGATGATACTTAAA